GTAACTCATTGACTGATAATTAATAGATAGGAACAAAGAACGATACCGGAGTTTGTGTATTTTCAACCACAGAAATATCATGTAAATTGTACAACGATCGCTCCCAATGCAATGCATCACCCATAGAAAAAGATTTTTATATGGATAACAACGGAAAAATGTCACACCAGCGGAAACTTGAATTTATACAACTTCTTTCAAAATTCACACTTGAGGTTGTAAACTTTCCGAAGCAATTCCGAGTACAGACTTAGCTTGATATTAAAGAGCATCAATTTAAGTACAGATCAAGATAAATACTGCGACACAACGTAAATATGTATTTTCGAATAACCGTTACACATCTGGATGATGTATAAATGGATAATATTTTCAGTTATGGAAGGTTTTTATTGCTACTCAATTTGTTACGCGGTAAAAAAAGACAATGCGACAATCTATGTCCGTGATAAAATACTAGTGGTTTTTGCCTCATTACACTTGTGTTCCTTTGAAGATAGTAATGAATATGGGCGACGCATACGCAATTTAATCACCCAATTCGGTATTACTAATATTAGTGGTCCTATTGATTGATGTAGTCGTACGTATAAAACTTCATAGAAACTACGACTAACAGTACCGTGTGCCACGTGGTGTATTGTCTGAAGATCTGGACAGCAGCACTCTTGCAACCAACAGCATCCTGGGCACAGGTTCGATCGACGGTGAATTCATAGTTTCTTCGAACGCGAGCCCTTGAGGTATGAGTATCCAATGTTTATTCAGCTCAGACGATATGTTAGCATGTACTGAAAAGTGACTGATAGTATGAGAATGAGTGAAAAATTCAGCTGAGGAAGAGAATCGATGAAAGGGCAAATAACGATAATTTTTTTTATTTTACTTAGGAGGCGGCCATGGATGATGTCGTGTAGCCGCCTTGATGTTACGCCGGCGCGTCAGGCCCACGGCGCGCATGTTGCAGGCGCTGCCGCGCAACGTGCGCCTAAAGACCCGTTTACACTAGTGGCAACGACATGCGCTTTGAGTCGTTTGCTGCAGTGCCTCACCGCGCACAACCGTTCACACTACTTTTTTACTCACTTCTATAACACCTCCCCACAACACCTCCTATAACACCTCCCACAACACCTCCTATAACACCTCCCCACAACAGCTTCTATAACACCTCCCCACACACAACACCTCCCCACAACACCTCCCACAACACTTCCCCACACACAACACCTCCCCCACAACACCTCCCCACAACACCTCCCTACACACAACTTACACACACTTGTTATATATAAATCCTACCAATACACCTACACACGCTAAACCAAAACACCTTCCTAATAAAGGCTCGTTTACACTAGTGACAACGACATGCGCTTTGAGTCGTTTGCTGCAGTGCCTCACCGCGCACAACCGTTCACACTACGTTTGTAAGTGATAGCTCGAGACCGCGCGCTTTGAACACTAGTTACCACCTAGACGTCAATGAGGATGGATGTCACCGAATTTGAGCTGTGGGCCATTGTTCTCGGGTGTGCTGGGGCCCGCGATTCTTCGCACTATGTCAGTTGTAAACGAGAATTTAGCATAGACATCATGATTAGAGAACTAGCACATTCAAAAAGATACAGTTTATAAAAATATAGTCTATTCTTAAATAATTCGTACCGATATTATATCATCCTTTGAAATCGCTAAACGGTAATGCAGAAATTGTCAGGAGTTGCTTAAATCACATAAACTAAACACGTCATGTAAAAATAACTTACATCATTTGCATTTCGATTTTTGTACTCCTTTGACCGAACAGTCCATAGGCATTCGTGTTCTCTATAAAGATCAATTAGGCGCTCTACTAGAGAGTGACTCCAAACGAGAGTGGTGCTTAGTCGACATTTGGTGTGCCGGACCAGCGTACACAATCAAGCTTACTACTACTAGACCACAGACAGCTATCTACTAACTAAGAATTTAAAAGCAAAGAATAGTCCACACAAATTCATATCTTTATAGAAAACGTTTCGGAGACCAGCTCCATCGTCAGTTCGTAGAATCTAGAATCACAAATTAATACATTGAAACCATAGGACGAATTCGATTTCTTTAATTAATTAATTTAGATATTTAATTTTATTTAAAATTTTAATTCAATTTAAATTCTTAGTTAATTTGCGATTTAAGCATACCAGTGATATCAATTCTTTAATAGCTATCTACTAAGCGCCGCGCTTGTGTTGCATGAGGCATGGCCCCTGTCAATCGCTAGCTCGTCAATCGGTCAAGAAGCGCATGCAGAGGCTGCAAAGCGCCTCTGCATGCGCTTTGAGGCACTTGACTCTCGTGTTTTGCCCCTAGTGTGAACGGGCCTTAAGAATTCCAGCTGGCTTTGAGACACTTGACGACAAACTGTAGTCTTACCTACTCGTGATTCAAAGTTTTCCACTAGACTTCTTGCCAATTTGGAATTGACATACCTTAAGCACACTTTGATGACCTGAACAACTTAACGTAACAAAATCTAATGTTCGTTTGCAGCATAAGTTAATGGATATTAAATAATGCTCTATAATCTGTTCTTTTAACGATAACTCGCCAGAAAAGACTAGGGGGTGAAAATGATTCACTGCAAAACCGTTTGAGCATGCATTTATTTTGAATTTAAGGCATTGGTAACTTCTCCAGAAATTGACGCTTTCAGGCTTAAAAGGATAGATAGAGAATTATGCGTATAATATTGAATACCTTTTAAAAATTTAAAACATTCGTCTTTGTTTACTTGATATAACCTAACAGTTGCAGCTAGCTTGCCCCTGCAGCAATGCCACCTACATCTGTCTTGTCTACGCCGTGACAGTATCCCATCCTGCACCATGTGCTCTATTTGAGTTTCTGGCAAACTTACAGGAGGTCCAAACGGCTGAGGCCAAGCCGCCGACGTAATGTGCACTGGAGCGAGTGCCCAGCCCAACATTCTCTCAAAAGGATTTGGAACCTCTATATATCTTCCCAAACTTTCTAAAAAAATCAATGAAGCTGGAATAGGAGATTGGAGAGCTATATTTTATTATCACTCCAGGTCATCGGAAGTAATAGAATATTACATGCCTGGTGTCTATTAGCGTAATATTTTGAAATATTTCTACATCATTAACTATATCTTAGACAACGGTCTCTAATTCTGGCACGGAATTTATGCTTCATCCATTGAATCAAAAGATGAAATTACTGGGCTAAAGCAATAAACTATTAAGTATTTATATTCATCGTAGCATCCGTACGTGTTCGCGACACATAAACTTATTATTTTTTTGCAATATTGGAATATTTGGGGAGAAGAGATGCGGTGGCTGACCGTTTTCACGAGCTTGTCATGGTCGTCGAAGCATACGAACATAAACTGCATCATACCATTTCAATTGAAGCAGCGACTGGCATAATTTTGACTCGAGGGAGTACATTTTCATCAATTGCAATTCAATCTATCAACAACCAAAGTTTGAAGTTTATAGTCTTGTATCAAAATGCCTAAAAATTGTTCAATTGTTCAAAGGAGAAAAAATCATCAGGTAAAAAAATATTGCCGACATAGCCCAAAATTATCGCATGCACCAGGTTGGCTGGCGTAATTATTTATTGTTGGCATAATTATTTAAATGTTATTTCAGTGCATTATCACGAAGGTAATTATTCTCGGGAATTTCTTTAACTTGCTTGTCGCATTCCAGCGCATCGCCCGTGGTTTGGCTGTTTAGTATGGCGTGCAGTTGGGGATGGAATTGTCGTCTAAAGTTCCAGCTCAGTCGCCAGAATGTATTCTGATGAAATATTTTAATTCTGTGAGAACTAACTTTCATTAAAGGGTTTTTGCTATTGATGTGCCCGAAGTGATGTATTGCTATTGATATATATTTTCGGTGCAGATTGATTCAAGATTTTATATTGTCTTTCGTTGTGCCAAACTATCAATGGCCATGTGGTCACATCAGAATGAACTATGTCCCTGGTATGTCGTAGTGCAAGGTGTATGGCAATGCTAGAGCTTCGTGAAATGTGTCTATATAATGCTCGGTTGGTCCCTTTGCGCTCCCTATAAGACCGCATTCCATGGTGTTGTCGGTTTTGAATGGCCATGTGTTCGTATAATGTTATTTTATATTCCGTCTTCAATGCCTGTATGTCATGAAGTGAGATGGGTATACAGTTTTGGAATTAGTGTTATGCGATCTTGGGTTCTGAGAGGCGTGTTAAAGATCATAATGGCGTGTTTTAGTGTGTCGGAGGAATAACCAGCGGAGATTTAGTGAATTAATACATATGGTAGGCGTGGTTCATGTGATTCTGTGAATTTCTTCATCAGTCCCAATTTCCTGCGGAGCTCTAGTAAAAGAACTCTATTAGAAGGCATCGACGAGTAACAGAAGGCATTTATCCACAAATTGTGAGCAGCTTTGGCTTCAAACGCTTATTGTATCAACATTTTCGTGGGGTTTCGTCTGTCCCTTGCACACAGAAAAACAGGGTATTTGATATACATATAAAGCTTATTGCTCGAGCAGCATGCGCAAGACTACCAAATTCCTACCCACTTACCAGAAGTGGTCTTTAGTTTTAAATTCCTGAGTTTCGAATGTTTCCTTGATGTGTACCGACGACCTGCTAGGATGAAACCTGAACATCGCCGTAGTCTAGTGACACCAGTAAGAAATTTCTTGATGATCTTACGGAAATAAATCATCCCGCAAAATAAAATTCACGTTAAAAATTTCAAAATCATTATTTCGGAATGTAAATTATGAAGCAACTTGATTGCATGTAAAAAGTGAACAAATAACTTAAAAGTGAACAAATGATAATCAAATCAATTTCAGATTTAATTAATTTCTTTGTCAAAAAAATTTGGTCACGTATTATCTTCGCTGTCATAACCTTATTCAACGGCGTGTTCACACGTCACTCTTCATTGATATTGTTTTTAATTTGATGAGTATAAATGATACCACAATTAGATTCATTTGTTATTTCAAATGAATATTTTATTTTAAACGGGAAGAATCCCCGGTTCCCGCAGTGATGATCATAAATAGGAAAGAGCAATTATCGGGGCCTATATATGCTTAGGCATGGCTGAGACTTGATATTTCGTTACGTATTCAAGATAACTCAAACGTGGGAGGTCAGAATAAACGTTTTCCATGAAAATATACCTGCAAGCAATAAATTAGAGCAGACAACATTCGCTAAAACTTAACCAAATATAATTTTCATAAATTACTTGATCTTTATTTTATTTTCTCTAGAAAATAAGTAATATTTTAGATTGAAAATCAATTGGTAGCGTATGGATCTGAATGCATATTTATTCTAAAAACACTAACTAAACATACCTATTTTCATTTGTACGCTGAAACTGAGAGAAAAGGAAGTGTTGCGCAAGAATATATAAGGGGCTAGGAAAAAAAGGGAACACTCATAATTTATATTGTTCATAGTCATTAAGAAGCCAAGGCTGAGGCAACGGTATCATATCCAGGGACGAATGGTATCAACATTGTCACCTGACACATTGTTAAGATTGTTAGAAAATGAACAGACAGACACTATTAAGGATGTTTAGCTTGTTTCTTCGACAGCTTGTTTTCAACTTTGTTTCCTATGCATTCTCTGATTGCTTGTTTTAAATTTGTAATAAAGATAAAAGCACAAGCGCGTGTGATGCCTACACCGTAGAGTGCTGACTGTCATCTTCTCCCTCTGTCTTGGTCTCTTGCACGGTCACAAATGGGGGACCAGCGTCTGCACACACGAGCAACATGATTACAATTTCATTATTTATGAATAAAACAGTTGACTGGGGCTGAATGTTGATGTTTATATAGGATAATGGTGGCTCTTGCACGGTCACAAATGGGGGACCAGCGCCTGCACACACAAGCAACATGATTACAATTTCATTATTTATGAACAAAACCGTTCACTAGCTACAACTGTATGGTGATGTTTATAATGGATTGTATTGGGTAAGAATTGATCTAAATGAGTTTTCAATTACTGAGTATACCACCGGAATTTCAAATTTATTCGACTTCTAGCCCGAAAAATTCCGTTAGCCAAAATTCAGATAAAAAGCCACTCGTCAGCCAAACGTTACACGGCTTCATAAAATTCAAGATGCATGAGAATTTCGTTCTCTTCAATCTCGATTTTCTTAATGCATGCCATCATCCGTGAAACTTCTCTCCTAATTGTCGCTTTCCTATTCCAATTATACATTTGCCCATAATAATGGAAACAATTTTTGTACAAAATAAAATGATAATAAATGAAAGGCCTACGCCGACTCACATTTTTCATATTATTTTTGTTCAACCTCGCTTCGAAATTCGATACTTTAGCTCATGTACTCATGAAGAAAATATATACCTCGCAAATAACATGTCATATTAGAATTTATTAATACTTTTTTTCTCTTTTGCTTCAAAATCTAAAATAGCTCCTAAATATCCACAACACTAGGTGTCAAGCAATTAAAAAAACATGTTTTCGCAAAATATATACTGATTAATGAGCCTACGATGCGAGCAGAATGCCTCTAATTCTCTCTCAAGTTAAAAACGCAGGCAGCGGCGACGACTTTCCTGGTTGGGCTCTTCGGTATAGAATAAGTAGCTTCAATCACGCACGCGTGACAAAGTTATAGAGGGAAATTGTTAAAATTTCTTCTGAAACACTGTTTCCAAACCAATGATAGATGCAACATAGGTAAGGAAGTTTTTTTTTTTGGTAGTGGCTCACAATCTGGAGCTGGCCGAGCTATCGATTAGCGCTACGTTGTCTTGAAATTGATGAATGAAAGTTCTATAAAACTCACTTCCATTTGAAACTATTCGGACCATCGAAACAATTAGCGTAAGTGCTTTGTCATCATGAGAATTGTTTATGAATTTCCGAAAATCAGCTGAGAAATGCATTCAGTTGCACGGAAAATAATTCCCCAACGTACATGATTCTACCCCTACTGAAATCTACTCGATTCAATCGGCAGTTTTCACTATTTCAGTACTGGAAGTCATCGTGAACTCGCTAATTTCATCAATCTTCATGAATGGAATGGCTCTTTCATTGCGGACGATGTTTTTTTATACTCCGAAGCACATAGAAGGCACCTGGTTCTCGTAGCTTCCGCAAATTAATAATGGATTTGCAAAATGAATTATGTACATCACATCAAGAGGGCGTTTACAACACTGATAATGACAAACTTTGCTGGTAGAACTGCCATCTAATAAATTTAATAAGCCGTGAAGATCCTGAAAGTTAGCCGTTATTTACCTTATACCGACACTCTGATAAGTTTATTTGAAGCTACCGAATAAAGGTCGTATATGTTTGTGAGTTACACTAATTATAATAATAAAAGAAAATGCCTGCAAAAAACAGACATTGTGAACATACTTGAAGAGGGTCGCACGGTGGTGAGCAATCTGTCGCGATAAGAGTAGCCCACGAACCCCAGAACAGCGACCAGCAGCAGGCAACCTATTACGATCCCCGCAATGGCGCCTCCCGCCAGACCTTTTCCGTTCTCTGCGCGATTAATTGATAATTACTGATGAGTAAAGCAGATAACATATGAAACACCTGTCACAAAAATCCCTTGGTTACCTTTATAAGCTGAGTGCTTTCGCGTCGGCGAAATTTCTTCAATGATCTATCGGAATCCACTTTTTGGAAAAAATTCAGATCATCATAATATGGAATAGATCATAGAACAATTTAACATGATAAACAATTAAAAGCTTATGAAGGTTTTTTCATAAGAGTGCTATAAATTGATGAGGGCATTGTTATTTTGTTTGAGAATACCCTATTAGTATCAACAAAGTCTTTCGTGTTTGAACGCTATCCTTGTCTGTTGCTCCTGCGCGTAGATAACACACTCACCAGGCGTTCGTGTTGTGCCTATTGGAGGTGGGGTACTTTGAACAGCGTCATCCCCATTTACTGCACAAGCGAAATAAAAAAAGATTAAATGTGTTATTAAAGTCAAAAATAAGCGGGAAATGAAAAAAAAAGTTAAATATGAAATTGAAGTCGAAAATCAAGCATTAGGTATATCGGCAAGTCAAGAACCGTCATATAAGATGAAAATAAATAGTAATATTGATTACCGGTGCTCATGCAAAGACTTCTACAAGATGGTACACACACCTACAATTGTCTGTAATTTAAGGTCTTATACTTCGAGGGAAAAAAGTTGATAATTTTAAACTAATTTCTCGTAGCCTTAAAACTGTGAAAACGCTAGATTGGCGCTTTAGTCTTTTTTGCACATTTCCTGAAGCACATCAATTGCCGAAAAACAGTAAATTATTAGAGTATATGATCGTTTAGGATAGATAGACATTGCTACTTTGAGCATAAAATTGGCTAAGATCAATGGTCGGTTCAAGATTTCTGACATGATCTGCATTTTACTTTACAATCTAATTATCAAGTTTTGCAGAAACAATTTCCAAATACGTTCAGGCTATGTATTACTTCGTATTATTATAATAATAATTGTATTGTATTATTTCATAATAATGGTATTATTAATATTAATAATTTAAGCCGGTGAGAGCCAGGAGGGGGAGGGTTGCTCAGTGCCCGGGGTGCAACAGGGTGCTGTCGGTCGCCAATATGGCGAGGCACCAGAGGGCGTGCCTGGTGTGGGACCCTGGGGGGGGGGGCAAGTCCCTGACGGGGATCGACGGCCCGGAAATGGAATGGAAATGGAAAAATGGTCACTTTTTTATTAATATTTATTTAGTTCTAATAAATTGCGTATACGACATGCGACTTGAGTGTTGCATGTTATACAGTAGTTTAGGAGTACCGAACGTCTACTAGTGAAGGCTTTTCTCCGGATGGCCGTACATCCAAAATGAGAATCAAATTATCCCGAATCCCGTCATTTTAAATGAAGTTACTAATTACGAAGCTTAAATTTACATACACAATTTTCAGAATCAAATTTTAAAAGTTATCCAGCGCTCCACTCCTCGTTCCAAAGTACCTCATGGTTCTGCAACTGAAATTAATTTCCAATTTCTTAAGTTCAGATAATTTTTCAGCAACTTAGGTTTAGTAAATACGAGCCCGAGCAATCGCACTATATACGAGTATTTACGATGCAAGGCGAAAAATCAACAAACACGCAGTATTTAAAAAAATTATGCATACATCGATCGAGAAAAATTCAGGTGTAACACGGGTTTCTCTATGTATTTCATGTAAATTCAGCACAGGTATGCTGCCAAGATTAACCATTACGCAGACATCGTGCTGATCCTGACAAACGATATTGGATCGCACAAGAAGCATGCATCTCTTAAGGGGACCGGCTACCCTAAAATTTTCAATTGTGGCGTTTTCCGGTTTTTGTGCTCATCTGAAAGCTGGAATTCTGCTCTTTCCAATGGTACCACTGCCATCGCTGTACGCCAATATTTACGTTCATGACGTCTCTTTAAAGGGAAGCGGGTGGGAGAGTTCTTCAACTAATTAGATATAAAGTAATTAGCTGCTGAAATCTTTGAATATAGTTTCTACTTGAGCTATGCTGCAGTTACATGCTTAGTCTCATCTTAAAGCTGACATTCTGAGCTTTCCAACGATACTACTGCGATCCATGTACGGCGATATTGACGCACACGGCCGGGCTTTAACGGGGGGCGGGGGGTGGAGTTCCTTCAGTAAATAGACCTAAGAAAATTAGAGCGGCAAGACTACATATATTGGTGTATCTGGCATCTGAGCTCAGTCACCCTAATAACTTTGTACGGAGAGGTGAGCTACAAGTTGCTGCTAGCATCCTTGAGTGGATTAAGCTACAGAAGCCTGTAGTTTGGTATCCATGCTACATTGAGTGCATATTTCGAGGCGCGCGGGACTTTGTCGCGCCGTCCTGAAAAGTTCAACTTATTGTCACGGAAAACCTATCTCCTCCTACAGTTTTTAAGCTACAGCAATGATACACATACCATTAGACTCGCAAAGACCAGGCCTATCGATTTGAACATCACTTTTTTAAATTTCTGTCTGGTTCGTTTTTTATATGCGGGAGAAGGGGCTGGGAAATGAGAAAAATGGGAAAAACGCGCATAAAAAAAAACTATAGGAAAAATGAAAAAACCCATGTTTGAATCGACAAGTATGGTCTTTACAAATTGAATGATACGTGTCTCGATGTTGTAGGATGATATTTGTAGGAGAAGATAGATTTTCTAAAGTACCCGTTTTTAGCCGTTTTCTATGAATTTCACGTTTTCTATCAATTTTTTCGCAAAATTCATAGAAGCAAAATGTCATTTTTTTTTAATTTTACGTATGTATGTGAAGTTTCATGATGGTCGGATAATAAATGTAGAAGTTTTTCTGGAGGGTAGCCGGTCCCCTTAACGAGGTACTCTTTAACTAAAACTAGTTTTTTACGACATCACCTCTTGATAAGTGTACCTTATATATAAAAATTGACTGAACAAATGTAAATGTCTCTAGAATAGGGGTGAGATACTTATAGTAACTCTCTTCATTTCAAATTTCTCAATCTGAATTGAAACAATCGTAGGAACATACGAACCAAAAACTTAGATTAGCGTCGAGAAAAAACATTTATTATATGGCTAGAAAATACTAAAATAAATATGATGAGTTTTAAAGGGAAATCATGGCAAATGATTGGCGCCTGTCACCAGAATTTCATGAACAACTCGCACGGCTAGGAGGTGAAGCCCTGGCATACCTCAGCTCAAGGTACCAATGCTATTCAGATAGGAGCGACACGACTATAATGTGTGGGGCATGAACTACGCAATGCGGTAGTGGGATGCCATTATATCTTGATAATTGGGAAGCTCCTATTTTATCGTGAAGAAAATTATTATTGTAATAGAATTAGGAGCAAACGAATTACACAAGTTATTTTCTTTCAGATTTCGTTATAGCAATACTCTCCCTCTCAGTTAACGGACAGATTCATTGAACAAATATTATTATATATATTTTTCCTGAGTTAGCTCCATCGCCTGGGCGCTATAGTGGAGGGTCTCCATGTACTACAACATTACCGCAATATATACGTTCTTCCTGCGACTATAGGGCATCTCCCGAGCGAACACGTCTGAAGAAAGATATCGCAACGGAATTCCGAACGCCCAGAAACGCACTTAATATCAAGAACTCATTCAGATCAATTCTCCTGTCACAACCTCAGTACATTTACGGTATTTCTCGTTTCCAAGTCGCTTGACGACGGACAACTCATTCGTTGAAAGCTCAGACTATTTCTATATAGTTAATCAGTCGGCGCACGTATAAGGTGCTTATACACGAGGCGAATAGTTGCGTCAACAAGTCGACGCAACTAAAATTTGTGATGATTGACGTGATCAGAGGCAACTAGCTGATGCATTGCACGCAGAGCAACTCAAGTTGCTATGAAGCAGTCAAGTGTGCCCAGTAGCGGTTCATACTGAATATAGTTGCGTCGCTCTCAATTCTTGCCCACTGTAGCGCGCACAGCTTTGGAACTCTCGCTCGCCTACACCATGCACATTCTTACTCGACAACTCCCAATGTCGCACTGGCGCAGGCGCACTGTACTGAAAACAATTTCCTGGTGTATAGGCCCTCAGCCGGCAAAACTGTAGTCGACTCAACTAATCGACGCAACTAATCGCCCCGACGCAACCTTTACATAACAAGGTGGAGTGGTACAACTTCCTTGTTGAGTGAGGCATATGAGAACCTGTCTACCTAACAAAAATAAGACTCTTTATTTACAGTGATTTGTGAAGACCTAGACATATTTTTATTATGCGAATTGTTTTTCATTAGATCAACGTAATTGGACTTATATTTCATTAATAAATAATGAAAATTTATGATAATACCAAATGAAAAGCATGAGGGATTCACTTCTTTCCTCATGAGATATGGGTAAATTTGAGATGATATTTGCAACTTCATCAGGTTTTGAGTTAAAAAATCTGTAAAATCGCATTTCTATTCCCATTTCAATGGCAACTCGCATAAAAATGGAGAGGCAAGCGTGTGAAGTGAGTGTTCAGGTTGAGGCGTAGAGAAAAGTGGGGTACAGTTGTACGTAGGGGATGGGAAAAATATCAATTATTTTACGTATTAAGGGATATAGTATCCCTCCCTGCCGCGTCAATAAAGGCTAAGACTTGTGTGCTTTTAATACCCTGGACCATTATTATATATCAACCAATATAGATGGAAAAACTGAAAAGTTTCATTTTGCCCCGTAATTCTCCCAGTCGTAATTCTCCAGTATTACTTAATTAGGAGACATAACCTTTTCAAAATTTAATACAGAAGTAAGATCATTTCGCATGCTTGAGAGCTGCTGCTATCCAAATGATATATTGTGATGGATTTTCCCATAAAAATATCAATATGCATTGATGAATGGTCAACGAATAACATTATGCATCGTATAGCTCATTATGAATCTTTCAGGTATCTGTCTCAGCTGCGGCTCGTGCTTCAAGTAGATAATAAATGAAGCACGAGCTGCAGGTGAGCAGATATATCCAAGATGCAGGGTGAGCTTACTTATAGGCACGAGCTGAAGCTGAGACAGAGATCTCCAAGCGGACCAAGGCACGAGTTACAGTTGTATATAAAATCGAAAAAACATGAATTTTTATTGCATTATTGTTTTTCACAGTGTAAACTTTTTTTGCGCGTAAGAAGTTCCCTGTTTTGCGTGGAAGTCACATGAATAACTATAATAATGTAAAATATGGCTGACTCAAGTAAATTATGAGGCTCCCATTTTCTGTAATAATATATGGATTTGCTGTTAATATTGACTTTCGGATCATTTGATTAAAAAAAATTGATTAAATGTAAAACTTTCCGTTGTTACCATTTGAACGAACAGATCCTCGCACAACCAGCAATATGAACTAACGGATCCTACCGCAATTGTAGTTGA